CCCTCTCTCGCTGTGTCTCTCTCTGTCAAATAAATAAATAAAATCTTTAAAAAAAAAAGAAGAAGAAAAATCAGCAATATGTGACGACATGGATGAACATGGAAGACATTATGTAAGTGAAAAAAACCAGTCACAGAAAGACAAATACTGCATGATTCCACTTATATATGAGGTATCTAAAGTAGTCAAATTCATAGAATCAAGGAGTAGAATGGTGGTTGCCAGGAGAGTGAAGGAAGGGAAAATGGGGACTTATCAACAGGTATAAAGTTTCAGTTAAACAAAATGAATAAGCTCTAGATATCTGCTGTACATCATTGTATCTGTAGTCAATAATAACGCTTTGTACACTTAAAAATTTGTTAAGAGGGTAGCTCTTATGTTAAATGTTTTTGTGACAACATACTTTTAAAAAAAATTTAAATCTTTTCATTTTTATTGGAATTGAACTAATTGATACATTAATTTAGGAAGAACATAGAGATACGCTTCCATATCTTGGCTATTGTAAATAATGCTGCAGTAAACATGGGAGTATATGTGTCTTTTTGAATTAGTGTTTTTGTTTTCTTTCAATAAATGCCCAGTAGTGGAATTATTGGCTTGTATCGTATTTCTATTTTTAATTGTTTTAGGAACCTCTGTACTGGTTTACACAGTGGTTGTACCAATTTATATTCCCACCAAAAGTGCATTAAGTTTCCTTTTTTCCCACATCCTCACCAACACTTGTTATTTCTTGTCTTTTTTGATTCTGGCCATTCTGACAGGTGTAAGGTGATATCTCATTGTGATTTTGATTTGCATTTTTCTGATGATTAGTGATATTGAGCTTCTTTTCATGTGCCTGCTGAGCATCTGTATGTCTTGTTTGAAGAAATATCTATTCAGGTCCTCTGCCCATTATAATAGAATTATTCCACTTGGAAAATTACCTATTTTTTAATGCTCTGAATTGATCTGCACATAAATCTACAAAATAATCTCATGATTTAAAAAGTGTATTTTGCTTCAGTTGTTATTCTCCTTGTGGTATCTTATCTTATACATGCTTTCTTCCTTTTTTTAAAGTTAGCTGATGATTTTTTATTTTGTTTAAAAAATTTTTTAAAAAACCAAAATTTTGATTTATTCATCAGGTATATTGTTTTTTATGCTGTAGTCAATTTCTGCTTTTCTCTTTAGTTTTTTTTCTTCTTTGTGCTTTCTTTCGGTTTACTTTATAGTTTTTTTCCAAGGTTGCTTTGCTGGGAGTTTAATTCATTTGTATGCTTTCATTTTTACTGATAAATGTGATTAGGGCTATGAATTTTCCACCGATCACTGCTTTAAGCATATTGTATAGATTTTGATATGCAGTGTTTATGCTGTTATATTTCTAAAGAAATCTGTAATTTCAGTTTGCATTTCTCCTTTTGATCAAGAGTTGTTTATTTTTTTGAAGATTTTATTTATTTGAGAGAGAGAGAGAGAGAAGGAGGGAGGGAGAGAGAGCACAGAGAGGGAGATTGAGAGGGAGAAGCAAACTTTCCGCTGATCAGAGAGCCTAATGTGGGGCTCGATCCCAGGACCCTGTGATCTTGACCTGAGTCGAAGGCAGGCCCTTAACCGACTGAGCCACCCAGGTGCCCCTCAAGAATTGTTTAAAAATTTGTTATATCTTCTGGGTGTTATATGCAAATAATGAATCATGGAACACTACATCAAAAACTAATGATGTAATGTATGGTGATTAACATAACATAATTAAAAAAAGAAAAAAATGCAAAAAAAAAGATGAGATGTCTTTAAATTTTGTTGTTAATTTTTCTAATATTATTGTCTTCTTATCAGAAAGTACTTTGGGTAATATTTTTACTTTTCTAATATTTTCTTTGTGGCCTAGTATTTTATTAATTGCAGTGTGTGTTCCACATGCACTTACAAAGAAGGTATACTCTCTTTGATAAGAGTATAAAGTTCAACACACCTGCATAAGATCTATATCCTTTTAATTTTTTTGCCCAATCTTTCTTATACTGAGCATGATGTGTTAAAATCTCCCATTAGTAGAATGTATTCATAAATGTGTCCTTCCATGTTCTTTTGTTTTTGCTTTATAAGGGGCATTGCTGTGTTATTGGTGGCATAGATGTTCTTAACTGCTATATCTTTGTTGTTAATTATGGCTTTTTTTTTTTTTAAGATTTTATTTATTTATTTGAGACAGAGAGAATGAGAGACAGAGAGCATGAGAGGGAGGAGGGTCAGAGGGAGAAGCAGACTCCCCGCCGAGCAGGGAGCCCGATGTGGGACTCGATCCAGGGACTCCAGGATCATGACCTGAGCCGAAGGCAGTCGCTTAACCAACTGAGCCACCCAGGTGCCCGTTAATTATGGCTTTTATCATAAATAAGCATCTTTCTTTTTTACTCTTGTGCTGTTTTCATTCAAAATGTACTTTGTTAGATATCAAATCACAGTTTCTGTTTTCTTATTGTTTCCATTTACTTGGTGCACTTTTGCTCATCCCTTTATTTTTAGCCATTATGAATCACTGGGTTTTAAGGGTTTCTCTTGTATACAGAATATAGTTGGGCCTTTCTTTTTAAGCCAAATTAAAAATCTTTCATTTTTAGTCGTGTTTTAGGTTCATTCAAGTTTATCGCTGTTACTGGTATGTTTGTTTCCTCTGTCATATTACATCATGGTATAATGTTGAGGGCATAATGTTATATTTTTTGTGTTTCTTCCTCTAGTTGATGTTTTTTGCTCTTTCATTAATTACATTTCTTTTGGGGTTTTGGAAGGTTTGTTTTTTGTTTTAGTGGTTAACTTTAATATAACATTTATATCATGTTTTATTTATATCATGTTTAATGCTCTTAAACCACTGTTTTCTTCTTAACTCTATTACATTCTGGTTTGCCAATTTTTTATGGTATCATTTAGCTCCCACCTTTTGTTTATAGAAAAATCAATAAAATTATTTTACTTTCCTCTTCCTCGTTCCCTTTCTATTCTCTTCTTAATTTTAGTTGCATTTTTGCTAATTTTTTAGAGTTTATAACACATAATAGATGCTATATAATATATAACAGTATTCTTCTACCCTTATACCACTATTATTTTTGTCTTAGCTCTAATATTACCCATATTAAATGCTCATCATCAGTCTTTTGGATGAAATTTTCCCAATCATTCCTTTGTTAGTTTAATCTCATCCACTATTTAATTTCTTAAGAAAGGCTTATGGGTTCAGAATTCTCTAAGTTCAAAATAAATTTCAACTTTTTATAGCCTTCATGGTTAGCATGTCTGGATGTAAAAATCTTCATTTCAAACTTTGAATAGGTTTTTCTACTTTTTAATTTAAGGTATACTTTACATACAGTAAAATTCACCTTTTTAAAACTGCACACTAGAATTCATAGTTTTTCAAATTTTAAGAATTTATATATATATTTACATCATATATATTACATTTACATATGTATATAAAACTACCACCATATCAACATATACCAAAATAAATACCCCTTTTTAGTCATCCTCCCACCTTAAACCCCTTGAAACTAGTGATCTGTTTTCTTTCTTTATAGGTTTGCCTTTGAAAGAGTGTCTTACAATTGGTTAACTTTTTGAAAAATATTGCTCCTATTACTTTGCTTTATTTTTGTTAATTGTGAAGTCAGTCTAATTCTCTTACTCTTGTAAATTTTTCCTTATTTTTACCTGAAATCCCTGAGGATGTTTCCTTTATGTTTAAAATTAAAAATAGAGTTATCATATGATCCAGTAATTCTACTACTGGGTATTTACCCAGAGAAAATGAAAATACTAATTCAAAAACATATATACATCCCTATGTTTATTGCAGCATTATTTACACTAGCCAAGATATGGAAGCAACCCAAGTGCCCATTGATAGATGAATGAAAAAAGAAAGTATGGTGTATATATACACATATCTATAATGGAATATTACTCAGCCATAAAAAAGAATGAAATCTTGAAATTTGCAACAATATGGATGGACCTAGAGGATATAATGTTAATTGAAATCAGTCAGAGAAAGTCAAATACCATATGATTTCACTCATATGTGAACTGTAAGAAACAAAACAAATGAACAAAGAAAAAAAAAAGACAAATTAAAAAAAAAAAAAAACCAGACTCAAATACACAGAATAAGCTGGTATTTGCCAGAGGGGAGCTGGGTAAAATAGATGAAGGGGAATAAGAGTACTATTATCTTGATGAGCCCTGTGACTTATATAGACTTGTTGAATCATTATATTGTACATCTGAAACTAATATAACACTGTATGTTAATTACACTTGAATAAAAAAATAAAATGTGAAATGAATAGGGTAAAGGGATGGCAGAATATGAAAAGAAAAACGAAAAACCTATCTAAAATCAATATTATGAAAAATTTGAATGCCTGAATTTTATTGTGATAATGTGACATTGCACTTATATAATTATTAATTAATTTCTTATCCCTGTCACCTTGTAAAAACATAAATTGTAGACTCCATAAAGAATAATAGCTGTTATTGAGTGCATATTATGTGCAAGCACTTAGTTTGCTAACATTTAAAAAGATTATTTAAAATATATTTATTAAAGATGATGAGTCTCTTTTTCTTTGTGGAAGAGAGGATACTAGGTATGTGTACCGCCCAGAACACAGAGGTGAGAACATGTTTCTGTCACTGTCCTATTGTATACATTAAGGCCACTGTAATTGTTTATAAGTGAGACTGAGCAATAGAGTATTTGGGTATGACTTTGATATATTATAAAATGTCCCTTTTGCTTTTTGAAGACTCTGCTACTGATTTATTTAATAAATACGATATACACATCCACTTCTTCTGTCACACAATTGGCTTTTTTCTTCATTTTCCAATGATATAAGTAAAATGATTAACCGTACGAGTGTTTACTATGATACTTGACACACATTTAGGATATAATCTGAGATTAAAAAAACTAATAAAATTGTACTTACCATAAAGGATTGCAAGCAGAGAGAGTGGCATGACAAGTAGTCCCACTAGCATATCAGCAATGGCTAGGGACATTAAGAAGTAATTGGTGGCATTGTGCAGTTTCTTTTCCAAGCTTACTGCCATGATAACGAGAATGTTGCCACCTATTGTCAAGATTATTATGATGACGATTGAAAGTGCTGGCCAGTTTTGTACCCCGTCTGGGAATTTGAAGCGTCCACCATCGGAGGTATTGAAAATGTCAGTTACTAGAGCTGCAACAGGGCTCACAGAAATATCGCATTGCCAAACCAGTAGGCCAATCAGGTGCACGCTGAAAATTAAGAAAAAAAAACAATCAGATACATCTTATATTGCTTATACCCAATGAATTGCTTATACAAAACAATTGCTTTTCCTTCAGCAACCCTTATCACCATCATCATCATCATCATCATCATCTCAGTATTTCTTTTTCTATCCAAAGAATATTATGAGTAAGGCACTTAGTTTATGGAAATATATATATAATAAAAATTATCTATAGTATAAAATTATATATATGTAATCTCATTTGATCACACACACAACAACCTCATGATGTTAAGATTGGTTATATCCATTATGCAAATGAAGAGCCTGAGGTTCAGAGAGGTTAAGTAACTTTCTCTAGGCAGCACAGCCAGTAAGTGACAGGAGCAGGGTCCATATTCAGGTCCCACTGATTTCAAGGCCTGTATTTTAAACTGTTACTCTATACAAGCAATATGAAACCACAGTCTTGTTTGATTTGCTGTAACGGTCTATTTTTATATTTTTTCAATATTAATTTCTTCTAGATATCATCTGAGACAACTGACAACAGAATGAAAGGAGATTTTCCTTTAAGTATCCAGTACCTGACAAGAAAATTGGACCGTTGCCCTTTTTAATCTCAAGCTAACAAGGAATAAGTTGTCATCAGACAAACTTCCGGCAAGATGTTAGAAGAGGCACAGTGGGTGTTGGCCATAGTGCATATTCATTTCTTTCTAAAACTCTTTTTCCCTTCTCACAGCTGCAGAGTGACTTTAGGCTGGTCCATACATATTAATATCTGTGCTATAAATGTTCCTTCTCTCTGACACTCTGCTCATTTCTGTCCTATGTTTTCTGGGCCCTGTTCTAGGCTAGAAAATGATTGATTTGTGGTGATGATTCCTATGGGTTTGCTGCTTTTCCTGTGCTGGATACAAAATCTCTTAAGTCATTTGAACTGTGCATCTCTCGGGATGGTACTTTCGTAGACTCCACTAGTAAGAATATCAGATCAGGTGGCAAACAATGTAGAAGTGGACGTGGCTATGTTTTGTACATCCCAAATCAACTTCCCCCAGTGGTGGTATGAGATTTATTCAGGTTACATACATTAAGTGTCCTCTCAAAGTGTGTGTTCCCAAAGTATCTAATAAAACTAACATTTATTTTCATTAGTAAAATAGATAAGAAAGATAAGCATATTCAATATTTCCTGTTTAAAAGCAAAATTATTATTTGAAAATGACTGTTTTTTGTGTATTCTATGTTCAGTAATAGTTATTTTATAAATATTAAGCAGCAACTACACTATATGTAGTGGTTGCTAAACCTTGTTATTATTTATAGAGGAGGAAGTTTTCTCTCGTATAAATACGTGCTGAATAATTTTTTTTTTTTTTTTGCGAGACTGTTGAAGTAAGGGTCTTTCCGGAGTTGGGGAGATTGAACACATGACATTACAACATCCAGAGTCTGAGGTCTTCATATAAATGCTTTTACTTCATTATCTTATTCACTTTTCCTTTGAACTAAAAATGTTATCTCTATACAGGAAAAATACATGTGTGATTTGATTAGCTCATCATTTATTACCAATTATCAGAGAAATATACTGTAGTAAAACTGGATGATTATGATTATCGTAATGATATCATATCTATGATATTATGCACACGTACTTGCACATACACCGTACTTTCTAAACTTAAACTGGAATGCTTGGCCTGAAAAACTATTAACATTTTAAAATTCAAGTAAAATACTGTAATAAATTTTCTGGAGTACTTAAAAATTATTTCTCTTAATATCTTGGTAATATACTTTTATGTCTTTTAAGATAATGAAGAAATCATGAAAATATTTTGACTTTCTCATTCTACAGAGGATAGAAAACTAATATTTTGACATTTTGCTTAAAATAACTTCCTTACTAGTTGAAGTTATCTGACATTCTAAGCAACATGCAGAGGGTGATACACATAGTAAGTTTTATCAAATAATCAGTAAATTTTTGTATCAAATAATCAGTAAATTCTATTTCCTAGAACATAAAAAAATAAGCTAAAATAATATATGTTTCAAAAAAATCTGTATCATAAGTAATCTGATTAATGTGAGTAGAAATTATTAAAATAAAGGATCAAATAAATAGAAGCAAGTTATTTGCACTCAGCTTTGATTATTCTGTCACTGTATTTGTTGCACTGGGCATGGGGTCAATTTCCTAACTTCATGACCTCAATGATTCTTTGACCAGTCATTTAACCTCTCAGAGCATTAATTTCTTCATCTGTACAACAAGGATGATCTTTATTACGTGATTGTTGGGAAAACTAAACGATATATATAAAGTCCTGAATATTGTACCTTTGTCATAACAGGCCCTCAGTAAATATTGGGGCTTACCTTCTGTTTGCCTTCAAAGTTAAACAAAAGTAGTTTATGATAACTATACCCCGACTCATGTATTTCACAATTGGTGATGAATTTAAATCCTGATTTTATTTTAATAAGATACTTATTTATGCAAAACAGCCTCAGACAGTAATTTTAAATCTGGGTCTTTTCTGGCTTATCTGATGAAGAAAAACCTGTCCTTTTGGCATTTAAAAAAAAAAATCTAGTTTAAATTAGCTGCTGATTATCTCAGGTAGTCCCGCAAGAGTTTATGCTCATAGTAAAATATTGCATCTTCAACAGTCGGTTATAGAACAAGTATATTTATCCTTAAGCCTAGAGAATAAGGTCCTAACAAAATATGCATCCAACTTCAATTTTCTAAGCAAGTTGTAAAAACATCAAAGTCCTTTCATACTTCTCTAAAAACGACAGAGGGGCGCCTGGGTGGCTTAGTTGGTTAAGCGTCTGCCTTTGGCTAGGGTCATGATCTCAGGGTCCTGGGATCAAGCCCCACGCTGGGCTCTGTCTCCCTCTGCCCCTCCCCACCACTTGTGCTCTCTCTCTCTAACAAATAAATAAATTTTTAAAAAGAGGAATGCAGGATAAAATCGTATGTAAAAAATACATGAAATACTGTTGGACAATTACCAATTTTAAAATTTGAGTGTCTTATTGTGGGTAGGAAAACACTTCAAGTGGTTATCTTGCCTACCTCTGCTGGCCAGATATATTTTTAATTTTCATGAAAGAGTCCATGAGACAAATACTAAATTACTGAGGAAGCTTATAGAATCTAAATATATCTGTTGTGAATTCTAAAATAATGTTACTGGGAAGATCCTGAAAGAGTATTTACTTCAGTTTCCTGGTTTCAACTCAATTACATTTAATAAATTCTTATTGGGTGCTATTATGGGCAAAGTATTATAATTATTATTAAAGTTCAATCCTATTTTCTATAGTTTTGTAATCAAGAATTGGCTATAATTAAACCTAACTTCTAATATTTACTAATATTAGAAGTTATATTATTTATTATATATTATAATAGATATATATCTATTATAATACTATATATTAGAAGTATATATTTCACTAATGCTCAATGAAATATATACAGCTCTTTTTATAGAAGAATAATAATTTAGGTCTTGCTCCTAAAGCTTAAGTTAATTGTTACTAAGCCCACACACAAGTTTCATAAAATATATACACAAAAACTAGTTTCTCTCTGAACGATGCAACCAATTTATTCACTGGTACTAAATGTTTAATGAACATATAATTTTATATTCTAGGTAGATAAACAAAATGATAATTTGAGTTAAAAGTCTGTACGTTTTAAATGTACTGTGTTTTTGCCTGCCATATGACAATGGGCATTTTTAGAAGTGGATTATCATCCATCCAAGGCAGGGCTGGGTCCCGCGACTCTGAGATCATGACCTGAGCCAAAATCAAGAGTCGGTCGCTTAACTGACTGCACCACCCAGGCGCCCCTTCCCTTCTTTTTCACTGTCCTCCATTCTTTCCTTTTCCTGTCTGTTGTTGTCCTCTTGGAATCACACATCACTGAGATTATGATCACCACAATGTGCAGTGACATCCAGATGGGCTCTAGTGGAGCATATTGCATAATGTGGAGGATTCATTGTGGATGTACTTTATATCTATACTACTCTATTAACTTTTTCCTGGGTGAGCTCTTTATAGGAATCATAGAGGAGGCTGTAGGAGCAAGGGGATTCAAGGCTTCTCAGCTGTAACTGATCAGAATTTACAGAGCCCTGGATCTTTTTTCCATGCCCCATTTCCTCGAAGAGTGGGCTTGGAAGAGACCAACCCAACATTTTATTAAGTTAAAAAGAAGATTTACCTGGATTAGATTATATTTAGAATTGTTCAGTACTTGAATCCAATTCTTATCTCCTTTACATGACATTCTATTGACCTGAACTACTGGGTCATTGTATCAAGACTTCGGAAGATGGCATTGTTTTCCTCTGTCTAGTTCCATCACCCAAGTTCTACTCCCTGACTTCTTACCCATTCTTTTGCAACCCCAACCATTCTTTATGAAACCAGAAACTGATAAAGACATTTTATCCTCTTGGCTGTTTAGTTCATGCAGGAAGGAAAAGGAAAAAACCTTTCTCATTTCTACATTTTAACCATGGAGAAAGCAACCATGAACATTGGAATTATTTTGGAATTTAAGATATTATTGCCATATTATTTGTTTGACTACATGAGCAGTTCTATTTAACTGAAGTCTAAGTTATTGGGAGTTTTTTCCATTTATTTTTGAACAGGGAACGTCCATAATATTAGCCTGTGGGCTGCAAGTCATTTGTGCAAATTGAGGCAAACGTAGCTGAATGATCATAGAAAAACCTCTTTAACATTTTTGAGCAAGCTACCATAAAAAGTTATCTTTTAAAAACATAATCAGTAATAACATCCTTACAGGAACGAATGCACCGCTTTCCTCAGGTTCACCATGATTGCTTCGGTGTTAAGCAACCAAAGTTTAAAATTGCGAAGAGAAAATTTAACAGATTGGATTCATAATTCCATCCTTTCTGGGGAGAGAGAAAAAAAAGGAAAAGAAAATTAGTTAAAAGTCCAAATAACTTGCATAACAGCCAATTAAATAAACTTAAATACATTTATCAAGTGATAAGAAACAATCTACAAAATTTAGCAAGCAGGTAAGCATGTTATATCATATAAGTGATAAAAAATGGCAGAGAATATATTTTTCATTTATTTACCGATACACAACCATCATCTTTTTTTTTTTTTTTCAGTTTTTCTAAAATTTCTTGTACACACTTTATTCATATGGGGCATCTACTAAAACTTTTCTTCTTAGAGTACACATGGCTTCAAGTCAGTGTTTTGAGAAAGAAATTAAGAATATATGCTTCTGGGGCGCCTGGGTGGCTCAGTTGGTTAAGCGACTGCCTTCGGCTCAGGTCATGATCCTGGAGTCCCGGGATCGAGTCCCGCATCGGGCTCCCTGCTCGGCGGGGAGTCTGCTTCTCCCTCTGACCCTCCTCCCTCTCATGCTCTCTGTCTCTCATTCTCTCTGTCTCAAATAAATAAATAAAAAATCTTTAAAAAAAAAGAATATATGCTTCTTAATTGACAAAGTGTTTGGGGAAAGTTTGTGATGTAATAATTAAGTAGCGTGTATAAATACAAAGGTTTCATCTTATAAGAACACGGAAAACTAAAATAAGTTGTAAGTATTTCTATTAAGTGAACATATTTTGTACAACATTTCTAATTTATTTTCTTCAAAGTGAAGCAATCTGCATTTGCATAGCTTTATTTATACTTTAGCATTAACCAACAATATTCTCCAGAGGGCAGCACCAAGTTTATACCAAAATAAATGAGTTGATCAGGTTTACTATATTAAATAGAGCAATCACCCTATGTACCAGCTTGTTAGTATCCTACAGATAATATGTTATAGTCAGGGCATGTGGAATAATGCTAAAAATGCCAATAAAAGGTCAGTTGCACAAGATGATGAAAACAAAAACCTTGTTTTCTTTTATTGATTAAAAGGTGACAATGCATCTTAAAGGTATTAGGAAGGAAACATGAAAACTCTCCAAACAACTTATCAAAGAATTTCAGAGTGAATGCCTTCAGTTTCTATAGGCTATTTTTCAAGGAGTTATTTTTTGCACTGCACAATCCCACCAAATATTTCCATAGCCGATTATTTACCACTTAGCACTCACTATATTCAGCATGCTAAAATGTTGGCCAAGAGTAGACTGGATGCAAATTTGCTGAGAATCTCTGCTGCACTCCTTTGTGGCAATAAATCTTCATAGAGTGGCACATGTCACTATCAATCTTTACATTGACATTGAACGAATACTCAGTGTGAATTCTAGTGATTAACATAGAAACCCTTCGTTTTTTCTGCCTGGAGATTCCTAACTGGGAACAGAGTGGGTAAACCTCTCTGTTCTCTATTCTTGGTTTTCTGGATCTTCAATTTTAGGATTTGGGTTATACTCTCTTCCCACACCAAACATCTAACTGAATTCTTTTCTGGGATCACAGGCTTTTACAAGAGTCAGGATTGGGATGTTAGGTTTGTACGCAGTGGGCTGTCAATGAGGAAAAGTTAGTTGCGGTGGGGGAGGGGGAGAAAGAGAGACTCGAGTAGCTTGAGAATGTGGAATAACATTGAAAAATCATCCTTTCTGTCTAATTTGAAAATATTTTCAAGGAATGTGATAAAGATGTGTTGATAATCTCTTCTAGTGTTTTTTAGTTCCTTTTAGAAATTCGGAAATAAAATTTTACTAGAACAAATTGCACCTCTCTCTGTTTCCCATCTCATTAATAGTACTATTATTCTAGTCATTCAAGCTACGAATTTAATTTATTCTCTCTTCTTGTCCCCCACCTCACACCTGTGAGTTCTATCAGTGTTACCTACACAGAAATCTACCTCAAAACCATCCCTTTCACTACAATAATGCATAAAGTATGGCCTCCAGTATCCAGAAACAAAATATTCTATGGGAGAGATAGAGTGACATTTGCCAGATCATTAGTCAGATCATTTTTATCCCATAAAATGCTGCCAGACAATGCATAAATCCCTTTTCCTGGGAGGTCTGGAAATAAGTGACAAAAAAAAAAAAAAAAGATACAGAAAGACAAAAAAGTCTTATTTTGCTTCTTAGCTCTCAACAAATATCAAAATCCTTCTCTTTTCTCAATATTAAAATATAAAAATTGTTTTTAATTTTTACTTTTCAAGTGTCTAAAAGTTAATACAATTTAAAAGTTTCAAAGTAAAATGCGCTTCGTTCCAGTAGATTATAGCACATCAATTGAATTCTTGTTTGCTATAGCTTGATATGATAATCATCTCATTAAACATTATATTTTCCATATTCTCAGCCATGGTAGAATCCCATATTGTTACTCAAAATACTGTATTTCTTTAAAAATTAATCAGCGTTGTCATCTTTTTTACATGTATATTTTTCTATAAAATATAAACAAGAAAATCAAGCAACAAATACTTATTTTTCTAAGTTCCAATTTTGTTAATTAAGGAGAGTAAGTAATAATCACAAGAGTATATTATGTATATAGATCTTCAATTTATTAACTAAAATACCTTGAGGGCAAAATAGTATCTTTCTATACTATTAAAATTTGCATTTTTTGGAAGTTGACTAAACCTGATAGAAAATGCCCCTGGATTGGTGGTAAAAGCTTAGAGAGATGATGTGATAGACAGGAGTAAGTTATATATAAATTATGTAAAGTAATGCTACATTACATGTTTCCCCAAGGGGCTAAGACACTGTGATGATATTTTGCAATGTGAAATGTTCTGTGAGTATTTCTACAAAACCTCTTAAAGACTTGGATAAAATAAGTTAAAAGAAACAAACAGAAAAAATAAGAGTAACAAAAAAAATAAAACCATAACAAAACAACACTAATTAAACACTCTGATCTGCAAACCTCTCGGACTCTGCCAATTTTTCATAATGGAATTCTCATGGTTGTTGAACAGAAAAAGAATACCTGGGAATTCAAGTACTCAAATTTGGAAAGACTTGTGTTTTATAAAACTTAGAAAAAAAATCATTGGTGGGGTAACTGATAGAGTGTTCCATTTTAAATGAGAATTTATATGGCTCTCATAGAAACTATGTTTGGTCATGTAACAATGTCAAAGTATTATAAGAATATATATATACATTTATGTGTGTGTGTGTATATGATTTTATGTACAGAAAAAGATTGATTAACCTGAAATCAATTTACTGTATCAATCATGAAGAGAAAAATCACAGGTTAAATCACAGAAATAAATTCAAGATCTGTAAATACATATTCAGACTAATCTCTTATTTTTGCAACACAAATCACAAACTGTTTATGTTCTCTCTAACACTCTGTAAAATCTTCAGACATCAATAACTACATTTGCTAAGGCAAAAAGGGGGACAAATAGTAGTTTTCGTATGGTTCTCAATAGTATGACGATTTTAGTTAAGCAAGACTCATACGCTGAGCATTATATTTAATTGATGCTTATGAAATCTATGCTCCTATGTCAACATATGTCATATATCATATAACATATATTATCAAAAATAGTTTGAATACTTGAGGACAGTTGAGCCAAAATAGGGTCCCAGTATATATTCAGAAATTAATTTTAAACTATCAAAATCAGTATCACTCAGAAATACTTAAAGCCATTATCAATAATGGCTTTTCGTGGAAGTGAAAATAATGAAAAAAAAAAAAGTAAAATCACTGTGGGGAAGAAAGGCTGGCATGAATTAAAAAGAGCAAAAGCCACTTTTGACTCTTCCCATATGGCCTCAGGCTAGCCTTGGAAATTTGTTAATTTCAGAGCTAATTGGTGTGATGCCTATTTAGCTCTAAATATAAGTATGACTGTAATGGGACCTAAGATTTCTTCGGCACACAGCTTCTATTTTAACCTCTTCTTGGTGACATTTTAAGGGTTTTGCATGGGCATGAATTTAGTGATGCTATACTTCTTGCATTCTTTGGACAATAATTTGATGCTTCACTTGGAAAACCAGTGCTGTGCTTTATTTAAGGGATACCTAGTTTTCCAAGCCTATTTGCCCTCCAAGTGATGAGACATCTATGGCCATCCTTGTGGTCTATAGAATACTTTATATTCATTCATTTGTGAAAGACTACAAAGATGAGAAAGGGAAGTCAATTTTGCATCTTATCTCAGTCTTACACATTTTAAATTTAGCTTATGAAAGAACTTCCACATCGCTCTGTATTGGGAGATGCAAACAACAAAGAAAACGGCATGATTTGGACTCTAGTAAAGTCATAGTTGGGGATTAGTTTTAAGAGTCGAGTGTTAAACCAGTAGAGAGTAGACATTATATTGGAGAACAGGAAAAATAAGAGGGCAGCAAATAGAAATGGAAAGAATAGGCAAAAAGGAAAATGTGAATGGAGACTGTTTTGAGAAGGAGCAGAGTCATACTGTGCGCTTTGTCCAAAAGAAGATTGACAGTGACCTTAGCGCCAATTCAAAAAAGTTGTGTAGAAAGGATCTAGAATGTAATTGGATGAAGGAGGAGAGAAGAGGACCAGCCGGACGAGAGGAGGTGGTTGGTGAGGAAAGGGAATATGTTCAAAGGGTTTTGCCCAAAGCAGCAGAGGCAGATAGATGTGTGCTGAATGTGTGCTAAAGACAAATTTTCGAGAGGAGGAGCCATATAAATGTACTTTCCATGTAACTCCCACATTCCTTAGCCAAGTGCTGGGTACTTGATTGATGGAAGGGCAGGGAGAGGGAGAGACTTGAGATTTAAGATGTGAAAAGATCCTAAGAATGAGAAAGAGCTGTGGTTTTTTTCTAAATTGTGTTTGGAGAAACAGGAGTCTATGACTTTCTACAAAATCCTGGACATTTCCTTGCATCTTCAAAAGCTAACCAT